CTCTAGGAGGAGCTCTTGTGGAATAGTGTCTAAGGCATTCATTGCTAACCAGAAAGCTGGTGGTTCAAACCCATCGGCCACTCCTCAGAAGGAAGATTGAGCACTCTGCTTCCATAGAGATACTGCATTGGAAATCCAAGGAGGGGTCGCTATAAGTCAAAGTCTACTTGACGGCAGTGAGTTTTTTTTTTCCCCCTGCCTCTAGGAGGGCTTGCTTTAAGCCTGGCAGAGTGGCAAAATCAACCAATCCCAACACCAGAATTTCACACACCTGAGAGAGAGAACAAACCTCCCAGAAAATTACTTCGTGCTGCTCTCAACAGAAATACCCCAGGTGGATAACTTTAACAATCAGAAGCTGCTTAGTTGCTCATGGCAAATTCCACCATGGAATTTACAAAGACTATAGCTAGAAGGCTGGCAGTTCAATCCCACCAGCCACTTGAAGGAAGCAAGGCTGGGCAATCTACTTCTGTAGTGATACTGCCTTGGAAACCCAAGAGGTGGTCGCCATGAGTCGGGTCCAACTCAAGGGCACATAACAACAACAACAACAACATCATGGCTCGAAAAGTCATACTATGTAGTTTACTACACTGCTGTAGGTTTGAACCACCAACCTTTTGGTTAGTAGCCAAGCACTTAACCATTGTGCCACCAGAGCTCCTTAAAGATAGGATACAAAGGACAATTGAATCTTCCATGGTTTTCCCGATATTCTTATTATCTCAATATCAGAACCACCATAAAACCCTATTAGATGTTCAGGTGACTTTTTCAAGTACAGTTTCTGACTTGGACAGAGGACTTTCTATTTGACAGGGCATATTGGAATAATATATTACCTTAATCATAGGAACATTCTGAAATAGATGTTCAAAAATTACTTTTGTCTTAAGACCTTGATAAGCTTTACAATGGATGATAACATTTTTAATTGTACTAATCATTTCTCATGACCCCGTTTACAAATAATAAAAAGGCAGTGTTAATGCAGTTATGGGAGTATTTAATTGTTTCAGTATCTAGTTATTTAGAACATTGAGCTGGTCTGGATTTTTGCCTTGTGTAGCCATCATATCCTGATGATTGAACAAGTGTTTCATTCACTTTGAGTCCTGTGATCATAGCACTTGAGAGACTTCAAAGTTTTTGTATCCCAGTGACCTCATTTTATGGATGAGGGCTTTGGGACCTGAGAGGTTAAATGAGTTGCTGCCTAATGGTCAAACTGTGTCTGGAGCAGAACTTTTCTGACATTATTTCTTCTCTACCACACTGCACCAACTTGATCTGGATAACCACCGCCCCCCCCCCCAAAAAAAAACCACTGAGTCAGTTCTGACTCATAGTGACTCCCATTGGGTTTCCAAAGCTGTAAATCTTTATGGAAATAGATTGCATCATCTTCCTTCCACAGAGAAGCTGATGGGTTTGAATTGCTGACCTTCTGGTTAGCAGCCAAATGCCTTACCCACTATGCCATCAGAGCTCCTTTGATCTGGATAAAGTTGCTTATTTTGGTATTATATTGTCAGAACCCACATAGCATTCCTCATGCAAGTTCACAATCAGGGCCTGATTACTATATGCAGAACCAGAAAAAAGAAGAGGCTTTCTTTCCTAGTTTATCTGTTACTGTTATTGTTAGGAGCCATTGACTCAGTTCTGATTCATAGCAAGTACTGTAGAGCAAAACATTGCCTGGTCCCACATCATCATCAGAATTGTTGCAGTATTTGAGCCCATTGCTGCAGCCACTGTGTCAGTCTATCTTGTTGAGGGTCTCCCTCTTTTTCACTGACCCTCTCCTTCACCAAGCATGATGTCCTGTTCCAAGGACTGGTCCCTCCTTATAATATACTGAAAGTACATGAGATAAAGTCTCACCATCCTTACTTCTAAGGAGCATTCTGGTTGTACTTCTTCCAAGACACATTTGTTTGTTTGTTTTATATTCCATGGTATATTTAATATTCTTTGCCAACACTAGAATGGGAGCTCTGGTGGCGTAGTGCCTAAGGCATTTGACTGCTAACCAAAAGGCTGGCGGTTCAAACCCACCACCCCTCCTTGGAAGGAAGATTGGGCAATCTACTTCTGTAGTGATGCTGACTCAGAAACCCAAGGAGGGGTTTCTAGGAGTCGTATCCAACTGGACAGCAGTGAGTTTGGTTTTTGGTAACACCAGAATTCAAGTGCATAAATTCTTCTTCAGTCTTCATTACTCATTGTCCAGCTTTTACATGCCTATGAGGCAATTGAAAATACCATGGCTTAGGTCAGGCTCATCTTAGTCCTCAAAGGGATATCTTTGGTTTTTAATACTTTAAAGAGGTCTTTTGCAGCAGATTTGCCCAATGTAATACATTGTTTGACTTCCTGATTGCTGTTTCCATGTGTGTTGATTGTGAATCCAAGTAAAATGAAATCCTTGGCAACTTTAATCTTTTCTCCATTTATCATGATGTTGCTTATTGGCACAGTTGTGAGGGTTTTGTTTTCTTTAGGTTGAGGTATAATCCACTCTGAAAGCTATAGTCTTTGGTCTTCATCAATAGGTGCTTCAAGTCCTCTTCACGTTCAGCAAGTAAGATTGTGTCATCTGCATATCTCAGGCTGTTAATGAGTCTTCCTCTAATCCTGAGCGAGTTCTGGTGGCACTGCTAACCAGAAGGCTGGCAGTTCAAACCCACCAGCCACTCCTTAGAAGGAAGGTTGGGCAATCTACTTCCATAGTGATACTGCCTCAGAAACCCAAGGAGGGGTGGCTATGAGTGGGATCCGACTTGACGACAGTGAGTTTGGCTTGGTTTTGGTTTCTCATCCTGATGTCATATTCTTCTTCATATAGTCCAGCTTCTCAGATTATTTGCTTAGCATACAGATTGAATAAGTATGGTAAAAGGATACATCCCTGATGCACACCTTTCCTGATTTTAAACCATGCAGTAAATCTGCTTGTTCTGTTTGAATGACGTGCCTCTTAGTCTATGTAAAAGTTCTGCATAAACAGAATTAAGTGTTCTGGAATTCCCCTTCTTTGGGGACCTTCATATGCTGATGTGGCACCAGTCAATTCAGTATGTGAAGAAACAGCTGCAGATATCCATTAATAATCAGTTGTGGAATATATGAAGTATGAATCTAGAAAAATTGGAAATCATAAAAAAATGAAATGGAGTGCCTAAAGATCAATATCCTAGGCATTGGTGTGCTGAAATGGACTGTTATTGGCCATTTTGAATTGGACAGTCATGGTGTACTATGCTGGGAATGACAAATTGAGGAGGATTGGAGCCACATTTATCATCAAAAAGAACATTTTAGGATCTGTTCTGTCAATGATAGGGTATCTGTACACCTACAAGAAGGACCAGTTAACACAACTATTACTTAAATATATGCACCAACTACTAATGCCAAAGATGGAGAAACTGAAGATTTTTACCAACTTGTGGAGGCTGAAATCGATCATACATGCAATCAAGATGCATTGGTAATGACTGGTGATTAGAATGCGAAAGTTGAAAACAAAGAAGAATCATTAATTGGAAAACATGGCCTTTGTTGTAGAACAGTACCAGAAATACATGATAGAATTTTGCAAGACCAATGACTTACTCATTGGCAATGCCTTTTTCTCAACATGCACAGCGACTATACATGTGTACCTCTTTGAATGGGATACACGGGAATCAAATCAACTACATCTGTGGAGACAATGGAGAACTTCTATATCTTGAGTCAGAACAAGGCCAGGGCCCAACTGAGGAACAGACCATCAGTTGCTCATATGCAAGTTCAAGTTGAAGCTGAAGAAAATTAAAACAAGTCCATGAGAGCCAAAATATAACCTTGAATATATCTCACCTGAATTTAGAAGCTATCTTAAAAATAGAGTTGATACATGACCAAACACAGAGGAGTTGTGGAATGACATCAAGGACATCATACATGAAGAAAGTAAAAGGTTATTATTATTTTTTTTTTTAAAAAAGAAAATACCAAAGTGGATGTCAGAAGAGTCTCTAACACTTGCTCTTGAGTGTAGAGTAGCTAATGCAAATGGAAGAAATGGTGAAGTAAAAGAGCTGAATAGAAGATTTCCAAGAGTGGCTCAAGAAGATAAAGTAAAGTATGGTAAGGAAATGTGCAAAGATTTGGAGTTAGAACACCAGAAAGAAAGAGCATGCTCGAAGTTTCTCAAGTGGAAAGAACTGAAGAAAAATTCAAGGCTCAAGTTGCAATATTGAAGGATTCTATGGTCAAAATGTTGAATTACACAGAAAGCATTAAAAGAATATGAAAGGGATACACAAAATGACCATACATAAAAGAATTGCTTCAATCATTTCAGCATATGATCAAGAACCAATGATAGTGAAGGAAGAAGTCCAAGATGCATGTAAGGCATTTGCGAATAACACAGCTCTAGAAATTGATGGAATACTTATTGAGATGTTTCAACAAAAGGATGCAACACTGTAAGCACCCACTCTTCTATGCCAAGAAATTTGAAAGATGGCTACCTGGTCAGCCAACTAAAAGAGATTCGTATGTACCCGTTCCAAAGAAAGATGATCCAGTAGAATGTGGAACTTATCAGGCAATATCATTAATAATACAAGCAAGTAAAATTTTGCTGAAAATAATTTAAAAAATGGTTGGAGCAGTACATCGACAGGAAACTGCTAGAAAATTCAAGCCAGATTCAGACTAGGATATGAGATGAGGGATATCATTGTTGATGTCAGGTAAGTCTCAGCTAGAAGCAGATAGTACCAGAGAGATGTGTTTTATTAACTACGCAGAGATACTCAGCTGTGTGGATTATAATGAATTATAGATAATGTTGTGAAGAATGAGAATTTCAGAACACTTAATTGTTCTCATGGGGAATTTGAACATTGCAAAGTTTATCTATTAGAATATTTAAAATACAGCTGTTGTCTCTAATATTTGCATATGAACTTTATTTTTCTTTCTTAATTTTACAGACAGTTTGAAATGGTTATTCCCACTGAAGATTCAGTTATCACAGAAATGACATCAACTTTAAGAGACTGGGGCACAATGTGGAAGCAACTGTATGTGGTAAGTAACTTTTAATAACATTAATTGTTTTGGTTGAGAAGGGTCATAAGAAATAGCTGAACATGAATTATTATTGTTAAGTGCTTTGGAGTCAATTTTTACTCATAGAGACACTATGTGACAGAATAGAACTGCTCACAAGGTTTTGGAGAGTCCTGGTGGTGCAGCTGCAAACCAGAAGGTGAGTGGTTCAAACCCATCAGCCAGTCCATGGGAGAAAGATGTGGCAGTCTTTTTCCGTAAAGATTACAACTTTGGAAACCCTGTAGAGCAGTTGTCCTCTGTCCTTTAGGGCCCCTGTGATTCAGAATCAACTTGACAGCAATAGTAATCTTTACAGGAGCACGTCATGAGGTCTTTCTCCCATGGAGCTACTGAGTGGGTTCGAACCACCAACTTTCTGTTTCTAGCCGAGCGCGCATAAACATTGACTAATACGGCACCTAAGAATAACAACATCTCAATGTCCCTGAGTGTTACAGATTGTTAAGCACTCAACTACTGGCCAAAAGGTTGGTGCTTCAAACACCACCAACAGCCCAAGGTCCCAGAAGTTCCTTGCGAAACAGGCTTGGCAATCTGCCTCTGAAAGGTCACAGCCTTGAAATCCCAATTAAGCAACGGTACTCTGTATACCAGGACTGTCATGAGTCTGAGTCGCCTTGACAGCATCTAACACCAACATTATCTGAGCACCTGCATTAAGTCAGTTGTCCTCCTCAGGGAATTAGGGACACTCATCTTAATAAGACATAGTCTTGTTGTAATCCCAGATTGCCAAGCAAACGTTTTATAAGTTCTTTTATAATACCTCAGGAATGTAGAAGATAATTTTTCTGGCTTCTTGTCAAATAGAATGGCTTACATGGAGAGTGTTAGACTTGCTGAATGTTATGATTTATCAGAGGGAAAGAAACTTACTTTCAACATAATGCTAGCTTTCAATTTTATTACATGATATTCTAGTTCTAGAAATAATTTAGGTATACTGTAAATGATAGACTTCTTAGCCAGAATCAATGTGAAAATTCATAATATACTAGAGAAAGGAATATTTCTCAGGGGAAGGGGAATCAGTGTTTTGGGAGTATGTATGTATGCATTTATTTTCTTATTTATTGTAACTAATCACATGGTGACACATAGATGTGCCAAGACCCATGGGAAGTCCTCTACATGTAGTATCTCATTTGGTTCAACCGCCATGCAATGAAATAATAGCTATTGCCATTTCCAGCTTACACATGAGGAAAATGATCCACAGAGACCGAAGCACTTCCTCTAGATTAAGGCATCAGAAGGTGACTCTGCTGGGATTCTGATGAGAGTTTCTTGCCTTCATTCTGAACCATTATCTATGCTGAAGTTGGGAGGTACTAACTTTCCAGGAAGATGAATTCTATTTCTTCTTTCCTTTTCAAAGAAATCAATTGAATAGCTTAATCATTGGAAGGGATAAGTTCAAAATACAGAGGTGTACTGTACTTATCCTGACAGAACGATTGCAAACAGACTGTCAGAGAATCTGAATGATTGAGGGCATTGGCACACAATGACAGGTTTTTGTTGCCTGTTACATATGAAATGAAATAGGCTATTTCATCGCACCACGAAAATCTTAAAAGTTACTCATGTAACCTTTTTGGTTGGATTGTCTCCACCGTGGCTCTCTTCTTGGAACTGGTGGTGCCTATTCCAAAGAAAGATGATCCAGTAGAATGTAGAAATTATCAAACAATATAGTTTTAGTACTTGCTACTAAAACCCACAAGACAATTTTAGATGAAAAGCAGAATCTAAGCTTTGCTGGAATAAGATAAATACAAAGCCAGTATAACTGTGACCTCAAGGGCTCTGGGTTTCTAAGTCTCTTTTTAAGGACATCTCAGTCTCTCTTTTTTAAAAAATTTGGGTTGAAAAGAATAAAAAATCCAAGTATAATTTCAGTTAAAATAACAGTGTGTGTGGCACTAATGTGGTGGTGGTGGGGGAAACCTATCTGAAAGGTTCAAACCACTGTATAGCCAATTTAAGAGAGTTATAAAGATAATGACAGTGCACACATCATCCACTAGACAAACTGAAGCACCAGCATTTTTCCTTTTATGTAGCTCTTATGGGTAACAAAGTTGAATTTCCTCTTTACACTGCCTTATCTAGTTATTTTTGCCTGCTTTTGAGGTTGCAAGCATCTATTTTCAAGGACACAATTGGTTTGAAAATGTATCTGCTATAAACTCTAGGAGTACCCTCCTTTCCTACTGGTGTCCTGAGTAATGAGAGCAAAGTATTAAAAAGTTTGCCTGGTTGCTGGTATGGCAGTCAATTCTATTAGGAACCAATGTAATTTTAGTTTTTGAGATTACGATGGAAGCCACCTTGGGCATTTCAGACCTTTTGGTATCTCTTGATTTGTGTGTGCCTGATGTTTTGCTTCAAGTGAGTCATGCTTAAGTGTGTCCAAGATACTGTCCATGTTCTTATGCAACTGTTTTAAGGCACCTAGCTTCTCCACTGGAACATGGTAGATGAAGACAATAGTATCTTGTAAGTTGGGGGCAATATATGAGATAATATATGGAGAACATTTAGCATGGTAGCACATGGCTGGAGAAATACTAGTTCTTTTTAATCTTATTAGCAAGGGCCTAAATAGTATTCTTTACAATTAATTAAAAATATAATATAGCCACAGAAAGTTTAGGAAAAATATAACCACCGTCTTTTAATTGATATGCCAGCCCTGGACTGGGTGGTTTACATGTTATTTAGGTCTTTGCCAGATAATTTTTACTCTCTCATCTTATCAAGGAGGTTCAATTGTTCATCAATCCAAAAACTTACACTAAGTAGTAAAGCCAGAATCTAAATTTTGATCTGCTATTGCCAAAACCTGTGTTATTTCGGTTTTAAGGCAAATAAACTTAACCATTTTCTAAAACACTAAAGTACTTGCTATTAACTTTTGTTACATGTCTTTTATGTTGCAGGATTTTTTAGATATTGGTTAAATCAAGTGTTTAACATTATACCCTACTTTTTTTATTTCACACTAGATCAAAAGCATTTTTCACATTCTTATATAGTCTTCGTACCTATCCAGTTTCTATCATAGTATTATGACTCAGTGTCACACCAGATGTTACCTGTTACTATGCACTCCTAGGGCAAGTATGCTGGTCAGGCCTGCAGAAGGTCAATGCCCCTGCCGCCCAGGTTTGCCTTCCCTACAGCAGGAGGCTCAGCAGCTGGTTCTCATTTGTATACAGCTCCTGCTTCTTTCTCATCTCAACGTTCTCTTGAACATAAGTACTAGAGTGACAGTATTAGAAAATAAAAACCATCCTACTCAACAGCTAACTGCAGCATGCCTTCCCTAGGAGCAGGGCACATGACTTCTTCACTGTGACAGTCAGGTCAAAAGGAGGCTGGCGCTCTCTTTTGCTGCATCAGGTTTGATTTATTTTATAACCTTCCTTAAGTCATTTCTTTTGTTCAAATGAATCTTTTTTCTGACTACTGACTTCCTCAAAGGTTTCTTGGTTTCTCTGCTTATTGTTCTGAGTGATGTCAACAGATCCCATCCTTTGAGGTCCACAAAAAACAAAACAAAACAAAACACACACACTCACACACATACACACACAAACATACCTATAAAGCAAAGCATTCATTCATTCATTCTCTGGCTACTGGGGCTATGTAAGACAGACACAGCCATGGTTATTGGGAGCTTACAGCCAAGCGGAGAACACAGACTTTGAACAGGTAATTATAAGAGTGTTCTGTTACAATATCCTTATAATGACTTACGTGGAAAGGTGTAACATGAGTGAAAAGTGAGAAGTGACAGAGCACTCAGGTGAGTCTGTTAAAGCAGACCCTCTGTACAGGCGCATGGCCATCACTACAGTTGTCTCCTTTCCTTCCTCTTTGTTTACCCCACTACTCAGTATGGGGAGTGACAGCCAAATCTCCCTGTCTCCTTATTTTCTAGAGGAATGAAGGTGATCTCTTCCACCGGCTGTGGCACATCATGAATGAAATCCTGGATCTGCGGCGGCAGGTGCTGGTGGGCCACCTTACCCACGATCGCATGAAGGATGTGAAGCGCCACATTACTGCCCGCCTTGACTGGGGCAATGAGTGAGTATGGGCCATCCACAGGGGCTGCTGTCCCTGGCAGTTGAACACAACAGTAGTGACCCAGACCTTACCCAGTGCTGGTAGCATCTCCTGAAGACACCATATGGGGCTTTCCTCTTTTGGGGATTTAGTGCTGACTGGGATTGATGGAGCCAAGAACTACCTCCTCTGGGGCTGTTAAGGCACCATCATGTGGTTTGATTGCTAGTGCCCTGTATGGTCTTCAGTGTGTTTGTGCTCACAGAAATGGAATGTTTAAATATGACATCTGGCTAAATGGGCTTTAGTTGTAAAGAAGTTTTCATTTTGGCATGTGCATATGCTTTT